AATGTAGTCCACTGTAGGGTTTATACAAAAACCGACTTTTGAAAAAACCGGTTTTCGAATCGCAGTATTTCCAAAAAACCGATTTTCGAATTGTTACAAAAAACCAAAATATAATTAAAACAGTAAAGAAATATTTATACTTATTTTAAAACTTTTCAGTGTACTTAATATTTATGGAACTACAAAAATATAACAAAATAAAATATACTACGTACAAAACCAAATAAACAAGCTAAAATAACTAAAATCCGTTCAAAATATAAATTATAAATTTTTATTTCATTTAGTATTTTTCTTCAGGAAATATGATTTCTTTCTTGAATTCGTACTTCTAAAGCATTTAATAATTTAGAACTAATTTCAGCCTGACTCATGAAGATTAGTTGTGTCCGAGGCGATTTAAAGTCAAAATGTTAACTTTTTAAATTAATTAATTTTTACATATTAATTCTAGTATCTAAAACCGGTTTTTAAAATTTTAAAAACCGGTTTTCGAATTTTACAAATTTATCCAAAAAAAACAACAACCGGTTTTTAAAAATCGACAAACCCTAGTCCACTGTCTCAGACACCGATAAGCTCCTATATTTATTACCGGAACTATTTTTGAGAGTCGTTTCTATTCCAGTCTTCAGATGATCGACTGTAATCACACCGATATCATCTTTATTTTCGATTGTTACCGCTAATATCGATAATACCAGGTAACAATAAAAATATATCAGTATAGTTAACAAATCACATAAAGACGAGAATACAGCTTATCCCCCAAAAAGTACGCCAATGGCCGATGCTCAATGCGTCTTTAATTTTCTGTTCCTCAGAAAATTCGATAACGTCGATCCCCTGAAGATAAATATCGTTCCTAAGCATCACGCAATAACGGCGTTGTCAACTCAGGACCCAGGAGGTTCTGCACATGGAAGGAAGAGAATTCCAACGCTTGGTCTAGGGTTTGAACCCCGATCGTCCAATCTGAGGCCAGTACAGCGACATCTTCAAATGGCGTTCGGTCTACTTGGGCGAACGAATAAAAACATTCGATTTTACGAACGACCTATTTACCGTACACATCTGCCGCGTCGAGTTTAAAATTTCATCTCTGTCAAGGCAAACCTCTCTTCTGTTGCACGCCTTGTGACACAAGAGAGAGAATCACTGAAGTTTCTAGAGAGACTCAGAACTCTACAGGGAGAGAAAAGATGCTGCCCGCAATATCTCTCTTCGCCATTTCTTCAACAGAGCTAAAAATCCTCAGTCAACCGACTCAGAGCCTTCAAAGGGGCGAGAAAAGGATAATCTAGACTCATCTGTATTAGATAATTCATCATCCGATTAAATTAATTACAGTATCGATGTATTATTTTAATAAAAAATAAATAAGTTTATTTCATTCTACATTTTAGATAGTTATTTATTATTTTTACCCATGTATGTAAAAGTAAATTCATTTTACGCGGCGATATAACGGAACCAATTTGTCGCGTATCGCGATGAATACCTGTACAAAATACTATTTATATCGCTGCCTTGTAAACATGTTTGCAACACTTTTGTCCCATAGAATACAATTCATTCTTGAATCATATCTCCTATTCACATCAGCCCCTAACGTATCTTAAAATAAACCACGATCGGCTCTTTCCAATTCCTCCGCAATTCACCATTCTGTCTCCCCCATTCGACAATACAAGAACACGTTGATAAATAATCGTCTAATAAGTCAAACTGCTACGTATTCGGGAGAACTCGAGTCCAAATCTTTATCGGGAGACCGGCTATGCTCAGGTTACTCGTGGTTTTTCTCAGTCCTTTTGTAGCATTGACTGTGTATGATAAATTCCTAAAGATTGAAACCGGCCATGACCTATTTTCAGATACTATCCCGATATTTGCAGTCACAGTGGCCTCGTGCCGCTGGGACCGTGGGTTCGAATCCCACTGAAGCCATGGATGTTTGTCCGCGACTTTCTGTGTTGTTCTGTCCTGTGTACATCCCGATCCCTCATCCAAGGAGTCCTACCGAATGTCTAATAGATCGAGCCAACGAAAAGTTGGGACCCGCAAATGTTACCTATCCTGTGCCAGACGAATCCAAGAGATAAATCTCTTTAGTCTATTTTAAGGACGGAATTGAGGAATACCACAAAACACATTAATCAAACCGTTGCGTTCGGTGTACATTTTTTAAGATGTCGATACATTACGAATAACAAACGTTCAGGAATGTGAAAGCAAGCAAATGTTCCTGCTACTATGAATAGGCCAAATTCCACCGCTGAACGTGAATGTTCATCATTTCAAGCCTGGCGTCACAGTCTATGACAATTTGTAAAGCTGACGTCTGACTCGAGAAAAAATCTTCATCTACTGAACTGACGCCTACGTAACGTGAGGATGGTTGCATCTTGTGATCAGCACCCAGTTCGAATCTCGACAGCAGCATCGACTATCCTCTCCAGGTAGATTTCTGGGGCAGGGAACAAGAAGGAGAAAGGAAAAAAAAAAGCTCCTGTTCACATATTTTGAAACTCATCACTCAATGTCCCCTATAATCGCTCATTCGATGTAACCAACCACTGCAAATGATACAACTTCGTCAAAGATTCAATTAAATGACGCTCTATCAATTGCGCAGGTTATAAAAATTGAATATGTATGGACGAATGAATAAACAAAAGGTCGTAGTCTGTTTAAGGTAATACGGTTTCGTAACCGCTGAGCTAATCTGCGCGGTGAGATCTGTGGACTGGTAGGCCCGTATCCCAGATCTGATTAAGAATTTTCATATTCCAGTCATCAGTCCCGCCTACAAATATACTGGTTCAATAAATGAAAGTTGAAAAAACGCCTTGCATTCACGCAAAGAGCCTGACACCAAAATATTTTAATAGCTCAGGCAATTAATATTAAATGAGTTCCTCTGCGTTCGTCAAATTATTTTAATGTATATAAGAACAATTCGCGTGCTTCGACCCTTGCGAGCGATAAACAGAATACCAAGTAAGTTTCTTTGTTTACCTTGTGGTAGAACACAGTGGTTATTTAATAGTAAAAGGGAAATAAATGTACCTGCACCGCTAGGTATGACCCAATTAATTTTTAATCGAGGTTCTCTAAAGAATTTAGTCAATTTAGATGCTAAATTTTTTTTCGATCTCCATATGTTTGTTTCAAAGGGCTGTCTGGTCAGTGACCACGAATAGTACGTCATGAAAATCTCCACTAGTAGGATATTTTGTATTTCTATATTTTATTTTTACCCTTGTGTTGGGCAAGGCCGTGGTCTAGGCAACACTGAGTTTTCTCCGTGGCATCCCAACAATTACTCTATTCACACACAGAAGAAGGCAATGGCAAACCCCTTCTGGATCATCTGCCAAGAACGTATATGAACAGGTCCCAGTCCGAGAAAAGGATGGAAGGATCCTGTTCATATGGACCTGTCGTCAGACAGAACACTAATAATAAAAATAAAAAACGTCATTTCTTACGCTACACGAATTCCACAAATTGTTTTACGTTTGGCTCCAAATATTTGCCCCCAGAAAAGTTATTGTGTGAGGAGAGGGCAAGGTCATTCGACTTGGCACCCGCATCAGAAGAATTCCTCTTCTGCAGTTCGAGATAACGTAACCAGAGAACTGCTCCTGTGACCTCAACAGAGAAAAGAACACACCAAGAGTGGCACAGGGCGCGGAATCCGTAAGCCCCCCCGAAGAACAATGAACAAGGTCCAACTCTAGCAAGATCGAGCCTTCGAGTCAGTATCGAGGGCAGTTGAGTTGCTGGAGTGCTTGGACATAGCAGCGCTGTGAGGTCTACGAGAATGACACTAACAACTACGGGTACGTACAAAAATGAGTTGTCAACATCGCTGAACATTCTGAACAGAAACAAGACCTCAATTGCAGTCATTAAAAGTTGTACTTGTTTTCTTATGAGATAAGGCAGTCTACACGTGTTTGCCTTCTTTTAACAGACATATTCAGGGTTGTAATCATACAGATAAGAAGACTTTAAACTTACAAGTACAGAAATGTACACAGATTACTTCAAGAGGCCAACGCTTTCGGAAATCAAATAAGACACGAGCGAATCATTACAGCAATTTACTATTCTGACTTTTATATTAAATCATTTTTCTTTGTTTCAAGAAGGCCGTGAATCTTATTTTAAGCAGGAGATCATGCACATTTGTTTTCCGACTACACCGCGTATGTTTGACGTCTATGTTTCTAAAATTAGTGGGGCCCCGGCACCCAAAAACCAATGTATTTTACAGAAGTTTTACCAACGTTTCCATCATCAGGGCGATGAATAAGTTCTTATACGAGCTACAACCCAGAAGATAGCCATCTCATTATTATTTTCCTTCAGTTATATATCATTATTCCACTGAACCACCAACTCGAGGCTGTGCCCACTGTTTCAAATGATGTGTAGACCGAAATGACAAGCAGAAATGTCGTGATGTTTAATTTTTACTGGAAGGAAAGCCTTTCAAAATGTATTTCGGAAAATCTGTTGTAGAATTTGAAACAAAAATAAAGTTACAAATACAATGGCACGTTATTTAACATATTAACTGTTGCTGAAGCCTTAAGTTTGTGACAATAGACAGACATTAGTATCAGTTGGAAACGTTCTTAAACGTAGTTTTCAATTTTATATAAAATTCTTTCTGCTATTAGCAAATCTTTATAAAAAAATTTTTTTAGTAGTGTATGTCTGTAAATAAACTTACGTATGTGTTACATTTGCGTGTTTTTTTTAAAATTTTTGCGAATTATCCAGGGGTTAGATTATCCTGGAAAATATATTTCCCAATCAACGTGTTACCAAGTGCGCTCAAAGGATTGTGAGAACTACAAGTTCAGAAGGAAAATATCAGATAACGTAACATTTTTGTTGTCAAACAAGGTTTATTATGAGATGTTAAAGTTGCGTCATATTGTGATATAATAAATATATATTATTTAAATCTTGTCCGTCTAATCACAATAAATTCTGAAAAATGATGGTCTAATGTAAATCGAATATTTCGATAAAGAACATCATTTAATATTTTAAATATTTTAAATGTTAATTATTGTAATATTTTAATATTTAATAAGAATTTATTGTGATTAGACGGACAAGATTTAAATAATATATATTTATTGATATTACATTTTCACTCAAAATAAGCCAATGAATAACCAGCCCAAAGTTTGGAAGACGTTTCGTACGACACCTGTATACAGATAGTTTCAATTATCATGTTTGTGAGTCCGTCGGTCTGTGCGCATTGACCCTTCAGTAAATTTTAAGGACGTGATGGTATTTAATGACGCACAACACAACCCTCATTCTACTGCAGTAAACACTCCCATGCTTTAACACCAGCTTGCAACAACACACAGAATTAGTTTATAAAAGCATTAGCCATCTTGGGAAGAATAATTATAGGAATCACCACAAAATTAAGCTGATGCATGAAACACAAAGGTGGAATTTCACACGAGTGATCGAGTGTTGACTTGTTAATTCCCACACCACAAAAGTAATTAAAATAAAATGAATTTATCTACTGTTCTCCCCCACGTGTCACTGTTTTTCATGACACTAAACTGAAGCAATCAAAGCAGGGCGAAACAAAAACGAATCTCCTCGATCGAATTGTTTGTTAAAAGTCAAGACGTCAAACAGATCGCTTCAGCAATCCATTCCTGAGAGAGTACAAAAAATATTTATAACATGCAAATTTTACGAAAACCCACGCTTCAAAAGAATCCCAACGCTGAACACGCAATGTCCTTCAACAACCATTAACATAAATACGAAACAAAAAACTTTGGCGGCTTACAAATGTTTCCAGTCGGCTCTGCCAAGTGAAATGTGCGTGTACGAGGTGCGATCAGAAAGTTTCCAGACTGCGCGTATAAAAACCCGTACACTTATCTCAGGTATTAAATTCATCCATCAACCTCGAAGTAGTTCCCCTGGGAGTGAACACAACGATCCCAGCGCCGCTGCCAAGCCTGGAAGCATCCCTGGAAATCTTTCTTTGT